CAGTACTAGATTGGTGGCTTCTCCCTGAGTAAGACCCCATCTCTTCAGCCAGGCCATACCTCAACAACCAAGTTTACCAAGTCTTCACACCCCAGGCCCCAGACAATGAGAAGATTTGCTACTTCTTGGATACAGAACTCTCATTTTTTTCTCTGATTTCTTTTCCCCCTGGTTCTAGAGTTTGAACTTGGGGCTTCCAGCTTGCTTGCCTTGGTGGCTTGGCTGGTGTTCTACCACTTAAGCTCGGTCTCCAGCCCAGCTTTTTGCTGATTATTTTGGAGATTAAGTCTTGCAGACTTTTCTGCCTGGACTGGCTTCAAACTATGACCCTCCAGATTTCAGCTTCCTGGGTAGCTAGAAGTACAGGCATGAGCCACTGGCTCCTCTCTGTGAGTTTTTACTGTTACTTTCTTAGGGATTTTCCTTCCTCCACATCTTTTTTTATTCTTCTTATTCCTGCATATTCTTTAAGTATCAACTACCAGAGCACATCATTTGCTGGGCCTATGTGGTTGATTCTTTCTTGTCCACTTCCCGCTCCCCACTCCCCGGGCACCTTGTGGGGAAGAATGAGGCATGGTACTGGAGGTAATGGTGTGCCATGACAACCCCTCTGTGCTTGACAAGAATAAGAAATAGTGGGAAGAAGGGACCGGCTTCTTTAAGGCTTCCAGGTGTTGGCTTCCTTAGAAAGTGCAGGAACCCCCTCCTCCTTCAGGCCCTGGCTGGCTTCAGAGAGCAGTCAACACCACTCTCACTACAGAACCAGCAGGCCCAGGAGAGCAGAGAATGAATTTAGTTAGAGAAAGAAATTCACCTTTAAAGTTTCATCAGAAATTGGAGTTCATGTCATACACGGCATACATGCTTTAACTGTAACACCCATTTTTCTTAACAACAACAAAACCCTCCCTCTTTGTGCTCAGGGCCCTGGCTCCTCCCTCTCATGGTGTGATCATGCTCTGTCTACGGGAGAGGTTAATAAAGCAGTAATTTCAGAAAAGTTGATTGTTATTGAGCGAGTTAATGACTGGTATGTAAGGGCTGTTAATGATCTGAAGTAAAACTGGCTTTTAACTGGTGACAGTAACTAGACCCCTGAAGGCTGTTTCTCCTGCCATCCATCTACTAGTCATTAGACTTCAAGTATTTAGAGAAAGGTACAGCTCTAATAGCATTAAAAACAACACAGATAAATAAAGCCACACATTTTCTTTCCTTTTTTTGAGGGGGGCGGTGCTAGGGATGGAACCCAGAGACTTCCTTATACATACTAGCCTACTTCCTCTCTGCAAAAATAGAGACAGCAATTCTTAGCTTTGGGGATTTCAATACAAGAAAAGAAAGATGGGGAAGTATCAAAGGCAACTGTAGTTATACTGCAGTACTAGTAGACCAACCCAGAAGCTTGCTGGTCATCTCCAGCAAGGCTCACCAAGGGAAGAATAGGTGCCAAATATCTACATGGGTAGAGATCTCCTACATGGGAGAGGCTCTAAAACAGTTCAACCTACTTCCTCTGTAAGGCACAAAAACTGGTATCTGACATCCTCAGGAAGCAGGAAAGAACAGGCAGTGGTGGCTCAGGGGAGGGGCTGCTTTCTACAACAGCCAAAGGTCAGCACAGTGACCTTCATTAGAGATGCAATCCCCCCATTAAACCTGTCAAGAGATACCTGCCTACAAAAGGACTCCTCATCCTTGCTGGCTCCTAAGCTGAGAGGCCCAAGGTTACTTTCACAGCAAGAGAACACTTTAAGTACTGAAACTGGACTCCTAACTAGAATTGATGAGAAAACTCATGACATGAAGTGACAGGAAAGCTACAGCATATATGTTACAGGAGAAATATATATATGTGTTTCAAAGTGGGGGAGGAGGCATATAGAATGAGCTCAAAAGGGAAACTGGGAGAAAAATGAGGTTGTTGTTTCCCTCTCACCCCATCACCTCCAGTCCTTCCAACAGAAGTACAGTGAGGAATCTCACAAAATAAGATGCAGATATTAGTATACTAACACTCAGTAAACCGTATAATGTATAACCAACTATTAAACTATGGGACTTGTTATAACTAGGTAGAATAAAACTTCTAAAGATACATCAGAAAAACTATGTTCTCAGATACTTAGGAAACAGAGATAAAAAAAGGTTTGAGGGAAATGTTAGCAAGATTATATCTCAAAGAATAAACTAGGCATGTTGGTGAACATCTGTAATCCTGCTACAATGCAGAAGTAGGTAGAGAACCAATGTTTCAGGCTGTCATAGGCAAAAAGCATTAGACCCTATCTGAAAAAATAACCAAGGCAAAAGTAGTAGAGCATCTGCTTAGGAAGCACAAGGACCTGAGTTCAAATTCCAGAACCACCAAAAGAGCAAAACTGCTCTTTTTATAATCCTACTTTTATTTCCAATTGGCTAACAGCAGCTAAGGTACGATTACCTATCCATCCCCCACAAGAAAGAGAGAAAGAGAGAGAGAGAGAGAGAGAGAGAAATGGAACAAGGAGGAGGCAGAAGAGTCAGACCAGAGGATAAAAGGGGGAAGGGAGGGTAATGTACTCCAAGAGAAGATGCATTAACTCATGGCCAAGAGCCTTTGTTAAGCACTAAAACAGTACATAACAGGGCAAAGCCAGGGTTCTGTCTTCCATGAAGTTTAGATTCAATATTCAGCAACAGGAAGGGAACAAGAGTTGATAAACAAAACTGACAGGACCAAAGCCTAGCAAAGGATCTTGGTAACCGCCATGAGAAGTCTGAAACGCAAACTCATGGTTCTTTGAATAGGCCCCTTAGTCCATCAGCCATAAGGAACTGCTGTGTAGATTCTGAAGCATTCTTCTGCTGGTTCTGGAAGCTCATTCCACCTAAGATCAATACTTCTTTGGGGAAAAAGAGTTATTCATTACTTTCGACCATGGAAGCATTAGACTGACCTTTATAGTAAAAATGGTGAATGTTGTGACTACATTTTAAATTGCAAGTAGGCACAAATTCATTCTAGGAAACACTAAACGCTACTTCCACTTAAATTATGGAGTGTCCCAACAAACGAGATTTTTTGGTGACAGTCAGGGCATGCCTGTGCTAGCCACCTGTACAAATACAGATGTCAAGCCTCACTCAGAGCTAATCTCACAGCAGACAGCATGAATTCTAGACAGCCCAGTGCACTGCTCCAGCACTAACAACCACAACCAAACTAATTGCCAAACCCAGGGTGAACGGCCCAAGCAAGCTCAGATTCATGTTCAGTAGATGCCTGCAGAGCGGTACTTCAAGTTTTCTGTTCCTACTATAATGTAGCTAAGACTATTTACAGTCAGAGACATATTGATGAAAGCTAAGTCTCAATTTCAATTCTAATCTGCTAAAACTGTTGGAATAAATGATAAAGAGTAGGAGTCAAGGCAATCAAATAAAAATCTAGAGAGCCAGTAACTTTGCAGAATAAAGAATAACAAGCATGAGTTCAGATGAGAGAAGCATGTATGTGCAGGCAGGCAGGCAGGTATGTAGACAGACAGAGAGACAGACACACACACACACACACACACACACACACAGGACACAGGAAGGGGTAGCTACAGTCTTCCCTCTGGAGGCCTTGATGCAATGGGAGAGCAGGCAGGTATGTAGACAGACAGACAGACAGACAGACACACACACACACACACACACACACACAACCACACACACACAACCACACACACACAGGAAGGGGTAGCTACAGTCTTCCCTCTGGAGGCCTTGATGCAATGGGAGAACTGAAAGCTGCCCACCCACTGCTGAAATCCACAACACCCATATAATCTAGCAATGACTTAAAAAAAGCAAGTTAATTGTGATATGCATGTAGTTCAAGCTCAGCAACGAGTTACTTAGAGTGAATTGATTTTTCAAGGTAATTTTTGCTAAAAACAACAAAAAAAACCTTGGATGGCAAGGAGAAACAACAGTAACACAAGTAGTTTCCCACATTTAGGTTACAGAAGACAGATCTCAAACTGAGTGGTTCTTTATCACAATAGCGATCCTTCAAAATAAAATAGTGCATGTCTAAGCCAACTAGATGAATATAAAGATATCTTTCATATAACAATTCTTTTTTAAAAAATCGACTACTTTAAAAGAATCTCCTTCAAACACGACTCCCTTGCCTCCAGAGGAGACTCTAGGAGTCCCTTGAGGTGGGGGACAAACCATTGTGATGGCATTCTCCCTGTCAGGCTAACAAAGTCTCCTAGATACAGAGGCAGGATCGTCCCTTCTTTGCCTTTTCGACAAGGAGAATGACCACAAAGTACCAGATAGGACTTTTAAATGGATATCCAGAACTAATGCCCACAATGGATATGTCCCTTTGAAGGTTTCATCTTGGAAATGATATGTTTAGTCTAATGACACGGTTATGGCACTTTGAGATCTGTTTTAGAGTTGGAAGTTTCCACATCCTTCATGCTGGCAAGTATTTGTCTTCTCGGGCTGAGCTGAGCAGCAATCTTGAGACCTCAGAGGAGGTGTGCTTTTTGTTGTCATCCTGAGTGACAAGTGTCATCTCGGTGACAAGCACCCTTCTGAATGGCCCATGCCATCCCCTCAGCAGAACACTTCTTGCTTTCCACTGCAGTCACTTATTTACTGTCTTCTTCCTGACAAAGCTATAACTCACCAGAGCAAGGTAGTTATCTCTCTTATTTTAAACCCACACCTGCACTGAACAATGTAACTGTCTGCAGCACCAAGGAACCTGGAATACCATGTGCCTTCTCCACTGGCTTCTCACTCTTCTCAGAAAAGGACTACGTGGTTCCACATCTGTACTAGTACAGGGACTAGTTCCTTGCATTTATTACTTCCCATACCTGGGTTGGATCTGATTCTCTTCATTACTTACAAAAATGGGGGGGGGGGAGCAAAACTCATAATTATATCTTACCATATTAAAAGTTTCCAACTTCCTGGCTGACAAATTTGCAAGCACATGATCTTACCTAGCTGCAGTATCTTTGTGGTGTCCGTGCAGGCCTTTCTCACCAGCTTGAAGTGGCGGTAAAGCGGGTAACATAGCACTCTTCTTGCAAAAGACACCAGGATCTCGTGAACATTCATCCAAGTCTGGGAAGAGTTATAGCAGGAAGTAGTATTCTTATATAATATGTTATACAAACAGAAGCACACAAATGCAACAGGAAATTATCCTCAATGAATACCTATGAACTTGGATCATTAACAAGTACAAGAGAAATAGGAATCCAGGTAGGGAGTCTCTGCACATCTTAATAATCTAGCTCATTGGTCTTCATAATATTGCTATCTATATCAACATGTCACAAAAGCTCCTTAAAACTCACTAAAGCAGTAGGAATTACAAATAAGAGTCAGGCGCTAGTGGCTCATGCCTGTAATCCTGGCTATTCAGGAGGCTGAGATCTGAGGATCAAAGCTCAAAGCTGGTCTGGGCAGGAAAGTTCATGAGACTCTTATCTCCAAGTAACCACATACACACAAAAAAGACAAATAAGAATAAAAAACACATGACATTAATAGAATGCAGACTTAAAAAGGGTATTTCTAAAGGATGCATACTTCCTTCATATTTTGTCCCTAAGGGCCATCCAAGATGGTCCAGACTAATTAGTGAAGTGTGTCCAATCTCCCTGCTCCTCTTTTTCTACTTTTCATTTTTGCTTTTGATATGAGTGACAAATGATATTTACTTGAGCTTTTGTTTAAATCTGTCCAAGAGGAAACACTACCTTACTGATTTCTGTGAAGGGGGATATTTTATCTTGAGAGGTATCAAACAGATACCATTAGCAATTCAAAACTCATAAAATTATCTTTTAATTGCTTTTTGATCAGCAACATATAAAAATGGAAATCATATGTGAAACTTAAAATACAAAATTTAAATTAAGGGAGCAAGATAATTTACATTATTTTAAGCCTTAATGTATTATGAGAGATCTAATTATATACACTTAGTATTTGACAAGAATATTTTACATCTAAAAGGAATTATAAATGTTTTAAAAATTCTAGCAAAATCTAAATACTTAAAAGTATTAATATGTCTGGCAATTCCAAATCATCTCAGAACAATAAAAATTTCAAGATAAATTATAAGCAGGTCGGACTGGGAAGGTGGCTCAGTGGTAGAGCGCTTGCCCTGCATGCATGAGGCCCTGGGTTTGATTCCTCAGCACCACATAAGCAAAAAGAAAAAATCCGGAAGTGGCACTGTGGCTCAAGTGGTAGAGCGCTAGCCTTGAGCTGAAGACCTGAGGGACAGTGCGCAGGCCCAGAGTTCAGGCCCCACGACTGGACGACCCCCCCCCAAAAAAAATTATAAGCAGGTCAAGTTTCATGTATCTTTTTTTAGTTGTATGACAAAATTATCCATTACAACTATTCCCCCATATTATAGTGCACTATCACAAACCCAACTTCTCTACTGGATGTTATGGTGGCACAAGAGAACCAGAGGAAGCCAGGACAGAAGAAGAAGCCTTACATGTCCCTTACATGGGTACAAACTACCTTAGGCCTAGCTCCAAACTAAGTCTCTCTTCCATACACTGGAGACTCAGATGCCCTATGTTTAGCAAGACCCCACTGAGGCTGTAAGTCCTGGATCATTCACTCACAAGTAACTGATGGCGTCTCTGATAAAGGAACTGTCTCAGTTCCTGTGTGTATCTCATTCTTCATAAACAGAGTAACCCAGGAAATCACCTTGGGCTTAAAACCATATAATACCAGCTCTCTTAACTGGTGATGCCATTATCAATTGCTTAAGTTGATACTTTTGAAATGCTTCTACTTTCAATTATAGTTCTACTTTCAATTACTGTTTCAGTGTACAACAGTTTGTTCAAATCCAGTAAATTTAAAGCTCTCATTTTCTGATATTTTAATAAGATTGTATCTAGAAAACAGACACAAAACAATTATTACTATATGGAAAGAGGTGTCAGCATTACCAGAAAATTATAGGACCTAGGATACTAAAGCTACGAGGAACTCACCTCATGTATTAAGAGGAATGGGTAAAGTAACAGGTATAAAACAGTTACCACAAGCCCTGGTAGTCCTTTATCACCTAGGGTTGCTTCCCTCTTTTGAGTTTCCAACACCTGCCAATTTACCAGCACATTTGCAACCTACCCTGATACACTCTGTTTTCACTGGCCCTCCAAAGTGTTTCTTCTGCCAATGTCCAGAACCCCTACCTGGCTTCCCCAGCACAAGTTGATGGAAAAGATAAGAATGAAATTTTACAATAAATCTTGTATCTCTAAAACACCAAGGAATGGCTTAGGTTGCACAAAATGAGTAATGACAAGAGAAAAACAACTAAGCAACAACAATCTGAATAATTACAAGTAAAAATCATACCTCAAACCAGCATAGTGTTGGACTTAGCTTTCTGACATTCCATGCAGACTCGACCTTTGTTGTGGAGAAAAGACAGTCATCACCTTTAGAAGTCATTTGAAAAATAAAACAAGTACATTTGCTTCAACTAGTATATAAGTAGGACTAACACAGGAAAACCAAGTATCTGAGTACAGAAAAAGAATCTTTTTATTCAGAGATTTTGGGAGGTGTTGGTGTATTTGGCTTGATATATGACAAAATGAAACTTTCCAAAACACTGAGTCCCAGGACACAAAAGCAAGTAAACAGAGGCTTGAAACAGAGGAGTACATGGTGTCCTGTTCCACTAACTTGCTTGCTGAAAACAGGCTGTTTGTGGAGCTGAAAAAAGGTATTACAGAACAATTCTCAAGGCTGCAAGACTTCATGATTTTTCTCAAACAGAAGAATAAACCCTGAGAAAGTTGATCAAAGATAACTATGATCAGGAATCAGTATCATGAAGCGCTTGTCAAAAAATTTAAGCCGACTACAGTGAAAACAAAAATATTTTCAGACACGTTATAGTGTATATACACTCAATTTCTTCATTTGTGAGTCATACGCAGCCACAAGAGTCACCACAGCATGCAGGGCACTGGTGGCTTACTCCTATAATCTTAGCTACTCAAATGGCTAAGATCTAAGGATCAGAGTTCAATGCTAGTTCAATGCAGAAAAGTCCATGAGACTCATCTCCAGTAAAAAGCCAGAGGTAGAGGTATGGCTCAAGTGACAGAGTACCAGCCTTGAGTAAAAACTTCCAAGTACTAGTACAAGGCAGGCTCTGAGTTCAGGCCCTAGTACTATCCCCCTGTCCCTTGCAAAGGGAGGAGGGCTAACACAGCAACTTTCAGAGTCATGACAACAAAAAACAGACATATAGAACTCTAAAGGATTCCAGTGCTGTAATGCTGAGTGCAAAAAGTAGATTAAACAACAGTATAGGCATTAAATATAATGCAGATTATACAATCTGTAAGTATACATATATACACATATGGTGGCTATTTCTGATCACTGACATTTAAGGAAACCTCAATTATTTTCTTCACATGTGTATTCTCCTTTATGATAGCATGTCATTTGTGTGATTCAAAAACTGAAAATCACATGCTCAGGTCTAAACTCTATACACAAAAATAGTTGCAGAACCACACTAATGGAAAGAGCCTTTTTAGTTAATGTATTCATTTAAACCCACAGCCTTTTAAAATATATGATTTATGGTTTTATCAATATAAAATCCACAGATGAGAAAGAAGTTTGTCTCTTCATTTACTAAATCAAACATGGTTTAAGAGATATAATAAAGCCTATATTGTTCATAAAAGGTCACTTAAGAGATAATTTAGTTTACAAAAGGATGTAACTTATAATATGGCTTATTTATTTATTCATTTTTATTGTATTTTTTTTTGAGGGAGGGTCACACTATAGAGCCCAGCTGGCCTCAGATCATAATCCTGCCTCAGCCTCCTGGTAGTTTTTCCAACTAGGAAAAAAGATAAAATCCAAGTTTTTAAAATCTTTCAGAAGTCCACATTCTTTATGAATTGAGAGACACTTGAAGGTACATGCCAAATCCCTTTTTGTAAATGCTATACCTTGTGTCTGCTGATGGACCACTTGGAGAAGTATAAATGAGCATGGGACTTGAAGCAATGTCAAGGTCACACAACATAGCCCTCCCTCCTTTTTAGCCTCAAAGAAATGAGCTCAGGAATGCCTCCTCTCTATCTCAGTGCTGGTGAAGGCAGGCATGCATGCACACCCACCTTTATCTGAGACATGTCCAATCGAAGTTGTTCCCACAGGATCTGCTTCCAATAAAAGCACTGAGGCTCAGACTCAGTTTACCCAGCACAGCAGGCAAGGTAGCACAAAGTGACACACAAGACACATGGACACTTACATTCCTCTCTCCTTCAGTGACACGCATTTCATAGCAATATGCCAGCAGGATATCAATTAAACCATAGTACACCTGACAGTGAGCTTTCTTGTCCAGCAGGTAAGATTTATTGACAAATTTACGTAGCTGGTATTTCTCCTCTTCTGAAAAAGACACTAGAAGAAAAGGCATTTGAAAATTAAATGTCTCCTTCAGGATTTAAAAACTGCTAATGTGAAAGATTTGCCAATAATCTGAACTCTGAATATAGTAACTGGAATAAACGTTATTTCTACTTAACTCTGAATATATAAACAGCTTTGAAGAGTAGGCAATGAACTAGGCATGGTGGCTCATAACTATAATCTCTGCTACTCAAGAAGATAGCAGTTCCAGGCCAGCGTGGGCAAAGAGTTAATGACACCCCATTTCAACACATTTCTAAGCTTGGCATGATGGCTCGTTTGTGTTTCCAGCTATGAAGGAGGTAAGTTCCTGAGACTCTTATTTCTAATTAACCACCAAAAGAGCTTAAAGTGGAGTGTGGCTCAAGTGGCAAAGTGCTAGCTTTGGGCAGAAAACGCAGGGACAGTGCCCAAGCCCTGAGTTCAGGCCCCAAGACTGGCACAAAACAAAACTTTGAAATTATATATGTAATATATAGTATAAATAATACATAGGAATAAGATAATATTATATTAATATATTAGCATTATATATTATAAACCATAAGTTTATATTTAATGTTTATATAACATATATATCAGTATTACATATTTCACGTACTATTACATAATTTACATATATATATATACTATATATACCAGACATAAGATCTCAAGGATCTTGCCTCCTGAGTAGCATGAACTACTGGTGCCTGGCTTAAAATTAATGCCCAGGTTATAGTACCCAGATTTAAAAGCATAGTATTTCTTATTATTCTTAATCCATGCATACAAAATTTTACACAGATTTACAAGTACGACTATAGCACACATAGCAGACCTGTGGGAGGGAGCAGACGTGTGGAAAAGAAACAGATTTTTGCTGGTACCCTCTATCCACCTTCTTCCTCATGGACAGCTTTCACTGTATATATCATTCTGTAGTTTCTCCTTACCCATATGATCACACAGTTGGTCACATGAATATATCTCCCTTACACAAAACCATCTCTGGCAAATCCCTTCAAGTCACTTTATACTGGGCTTGATGAGTATCTCTTAGTTTCTACTTTTGCGTTCCTACTAATGGCACTACAAAACATGTCCCTACTGTAGTCCTTGACTAAGGCTTTGTTCCCTTAAAAGATCGCCAGTCATAGACTTACTGGCTCAAAATGTGTACCAAGGACTGGGAATGTGACTTAGTGGTAGAGTGCTTGCCTAGCATGCATGAAGCCCTGGTTTCAATTCCTCAGTACCACATAACAGAAAAAGCTGGAAGTGGCACTGTGGCTCAAGTGATAGAGTGCTAGCCTTGAGCAAAAGAAGCTCAGGGACAGTGCCCAGGCCCTGAGCTCAAGCCCCAGGACTGGCTACAAAAAAGAGTATACCAAGGTTTTAAATAAATACTTTGTTTAAAGGGCACATCTTCCCATGTTCACCTCCCATGTGTGGCAATGAACTTAATAGGGCTCTTCCATTCATTCCAGGTTTAATGAATTAAGTGACTGCAGTAGGCAGAATTCTAAGAAAATTCCTAAGAAGTAACATTATTGTACCAGGATAGTGCTTGCTATAAGCAAGCTTTTCAAGAAGCTGGCAATGGTGACAGGCAGTCACTGCCATGACTACATCCCATTATTAGCAGACGACCTGGGCCTTGCTTGAAGCAATGAGACTCTTGGCAGGGCCCTGTGAAAAAGGGAACACGATCCTGTGGGCCTCTATGACCTGATAAACAGAGAGTCCTGGTTTTACAGCAGCCACGGAGAGAATTCTGTGAACACTTTTGTGAGCCTGGCATGCAGCTACCAACAACCTATTTTTTGTGTGTCAGTGCTGGGGCTTGAACTCAGTGCCTATGTGCTGTTCCTGGGCTTTTGTGTTTAAAGCTGACACTCTATCATTTGGGCCACAGCTCTACTTCTGGCTTTTTGGCAGTTAATTGAAGGTAAGAATCTCACTAACTTTCCTGCTGGGGCTAGCTTCAAACTGTGATCCTCAACTCTCAGTCTTCTGAGTAGCTAGAATTATAAGCATGGGCCACTGGCACCCAGCCAACAAACTTTTTTTTTCTTCTCAAATATAGGCACATTTGGCTATAACCTCCTAGGATATTAAGCAGAAGACCCAGCAGATGCAGGCCTTACTGAGCATAGGTGAAACCTGTGAGGCCCTGCCTGTTTGGGGTGCAGTTTGTTACAAGGCCAAGAAAATGAAAACCAGGAGATAGTGGCATTACAGTCCCTCCAATCTTTATTTTGTAACTGGGACAAAAGTGAATGCTTTCACCTACCACTTCTGCTAAGGTATACTGCCCAACCACAGACCCAAAGGCAACAAAACTCAAGGACTGAAATCATGAACCCAAATAAGCCTTTCCCCTTTTTACGCAGATTATCTCAAGTGTTTTGTTAAAGTAACAGTTAACACATCCTTTCTCACATAAAATATTCTAAGTGCATTTCTGTCCTTTTTTATAAGTCACAAGTTTTACATGGCTTCTTTTTGATCAAAAGCTTTTAGTTGTTTTCGAGCCTATCTGGAGTGGGGTGGAGAGGGAGGGAGGAGGGAAGGTCTTAAACACACTTAAGAGAAGCATTACTTGTTTTAGTATAACCATTTAAGTATTTCCTTAATTCTTAGTGCAAGCAATAGGTTTTTGACAGTATATAGTTTTTTTTTAACCATGTAATCAACCTTATGCAAAAGAAAAAAGAGAAATGAATGCATTTATACAAGTACTGCTTATAAAAATGACAAATAATTATTAAGATGCACTTAGTTTGCTGGTCATCAAGGTAAAGAAATACACTAAAAATTTTTAATATAGGTAGGAGTCAAGTGAAGCAGTCCTTAAAGACTGTTTAAAAATGAAATAAGCCAGATAAAGTGGGTGGTGATTGCCTCATTAAAGGATTCATTTAAAGATTCCTTAATTTAAATAAAAGCTTTCAGTTCACTTCCAGCAGTTCAACTTAAGAAAATTGCATGATGGAACATCCTCACTGCAGGAAGAAGAGTACACTGAGAAAGTACGGGAAGAGCCCTGATATTTAACAATAAGATGTGAGACAGTATTCCCTTAAGCAGTTTGTCAGACACTCATTAATTTAGCTAATAGGAAAGTGCCAGGTGTTCAAGATACTATCTCACTGGAGAAAAGCTTTTGTACCCCAGTTGACTAACAAAGACCTCTACATCTGCATAGTTCTGAACCTAAAAGGAAGCGTAGCAAAGCGTTTCACAACAAACTCACGCCTTCAATCTGGGTGCCTGCAGTGATTTGAACTGTTGGCTAGAACACAGTGGGTCCTAAAGCTCAATACCCATAACTAAGTCCTCCCTCCCCTCCCCCTCCTCATGTCACTGTCAATGACTGGAAGAGCCAACCTGACTATACTCCTACATGCCTCCAACCTTTCCTTAAAACACCACCAACTTCCTCTGCCCATTTTTAAGTTTCATTTTGAGTACAATAATAATACATAAATGTACTTTTTGTCCTGAAAATCAAGCAAAAACAAAAATCAGAGAGGATGAATAACACTAGCAACAAGCCCGGATATCACTAGAGAAATCAAAAGTCTGAACTCCCCGTGGCCCTTTTTATTAGCGCTGTAAATCATATCACCCGAAGGGGAACTTGGGAGGTTCGCACACAATCAGGTCAGCATACGGAGCAGCATACTGGAAACACCTACAGATGCAGTGCCAACAATACTTGGGCGAGTGCCACCACGAGCAACATTTGTCAAGAGCTTGTATGACGTAGCTATGCTAGAACAGAACTTCGCTACACAGTTCACAACATTTTGGTTAATTATACTTCTAAAAATAATCTACAGTGAAAACTAGAGCCAGCTAAAAGCTAGATATGTTTAGGGGAAGTTAACTGGTGCCTAAGCATAGAAGTAAATGGCCAACAAAGGGTCTCCCACTAAAATGAAAAGGTGTCACTGAGGGGGTCAGTTTTTCTCCCAACCCTTTTCTAATTGCATTGCTTTTCATTCTCCCTTTCCTCTCTAAATCCCCCTCTCAAACATCCCCGTCTTACCTGGATCAGTGCCTCAATTATCCACAATCCAGCTCCTCTCAGAGTAATGCCTATCTGTCTGTTGCACTGTGCACTTACTGAAAACAGATCAGGAGAACCAGACCATCAGTTAAAATGGGGCAGCCCTGCTGTGCTACAACTTTCACAGATGACACTGACAGTTATCTGTACAAACCCTGCAGGATATCCCTACCAGGAAGTTCATCGACAATAAATGTTATGTGGTGTCATAACAAGCAACTGAGCGCCAAGACTCATGGGCTGAGACTAACCACTGAAATACAACTTGGGGAATGTACTGAGTCCATCCCCACATAGCCAGAGCTCCAGGAGCAACACATTAACAATGCCTTTCACAAGCCTTTGGGGAGGAAAATCTAGATCATTACAAAGCTGGAGATGTTCATCACCATCTCCCTGCTGTAATTCATGGCTCCAATAAATCTGACAAGAATCACAATCCACACAAAGAGTACCAGCCAAGTTGTCCAGGATTCCAAACAGTGCAGGCTAACACATGAGGGGTAAATGGTGAATCCAAGGCACACCCGTCACCCACAGGCAGAGCAGCCAGGCAACAGCTAATGGACAACAGCCACCTGGCCACACCTCAACCAAGGAAGAAGGTCAGGGGGAGAGGAGAGAAGGAAAATGGGGAGAGACACAACAGCATGTATCTTGGGGGAAACAGAACATTTCAGAGCTTGTTTCTTGGCTTCTTTCTTTTCTCCCATAGTTTGTCATGGCTCATGGCACTTCAGTTAACTCCTCCAATTCTGAGTGTCTCAAATATTTGTATTTGGGTCCGGTCTTGGGGCCTGACCTCTGGGCCTGGGCACTCCCTCACCACTTCAGCTCAAGGCTAGCATCTACCACTTGAGCCACAGTGCTACTTCCGGCTTTTTGCTTATGTGGTGCTTAGGAATCGAACCCAGGTCCTCAGGCACGCAAGGCAAGTGCTCTACCACTGAGCCATCTTCCCAGCCCTTGAGTGTCTCAAATATTTGAACAACAACAACAACAACGAAGACACAAATCTAATTTCTCTAGAAGTTTTATACAATCTACAGGTGACATCATGAGAAGTCATTCCATTTTTGGCTCTCCTACTAATGGGTTTACTTCCTAATAACATCCACAACCCTCATGACAACTCTGAGCTGGGCGCAGAGGATTTCCTAGAGCAAGCCAAAGTTGCAAAATCACCCTGTAGAGGATGGAGCAAGATATTAAATCTCAAGCTCACATTCAGCTCATATCCTCCATATGTAGCCTTCCTTATACTTGTCATACTAGAAGAATGCCAGTTGGTTCACATGTCCTCACTGTTTGTAAAGGTGACTTTTAAAATGAATCACCATAATGGCTGAGCAGCCTCTGACCACCTGAAGCACCAGCCTGGAGAGAATGCATGGATCAGAGGAAGGACTGAAGGGTCATCTCCTGTTAACACAGCAGAGAAACCTAACTCAAAGCACTGCAGATACAGAGAACTGGACTGAGAACACACTACAGTTTATCAAAGGAGAGTAAATCAGAATTGAAATCAAAGGTAATACCTTTTGATTTTTAGGGCAACTAGCTCGCCCTAGTGGACAGAAAGTGCACCTACACAAGTACCAGTCTCCCACACCACCTCATTAAAACTCTGCAATAACTGGGGAAACTGATTCACACCAGTTGGTATCTTTGATGACTGCCACTTGAGAAAGCTTTCTCAGATCTACATGGCATATAGTTAATTGCCTAAATTGTGCTAGCAATACTACATCTGAAAATACATCGACATCATGTGGAAAGTCTCTTCAGAAGTCTCTTGACAGCTTCTTGAACTCAAATCAAATATAAGCCCAGGATGTGTTGAAAGCAACAAGCATTATCAAGAGTCATGTAATAGTTTGTTACACAACAGAGCTACTGTCTGTTTTCTAAAACTACAAGAGCAATTTTTTTTCAATCTGGTAGAAATCATCTAAACTCTAACAAAACTTTACCACAAAAATATTCACTAACGTATTTATTTTTTCATAAATAGCTGTTCCGGGCCCATTAGGTAACAGGTACTACACCGGACACTGAAGTAAGAGCAGATAACAGGCTACTGCACTTCTATGGGGAGAATAAAAAGAGATATCAGAGCGTCTATAGATGTTTCACACTGAAGCCAAAGAAGACCACTGCATTATCCACAGAACAGAAAACTAACCAATGTACATGTCAGTCAGCCAGGACACAGACAAACAGGAGAGCAATTGTTGGGAGCACCTTCAGAAGAGTGTGCCACATACAGTCCAACCAAGGAAAGGAATTTAATAACAGTGTATGAAAGCTTTATAGGTATTTAGATGTGGCTATGTGTATTTAAAAAATACCCAGGCTGAGGGTATAACTCTATGCTTGATGTGTACTACACATGCACAAGGTCTTGGGGTTGATCCTCTGCGCAAAAATTAATTTAAAATATTCCAAATTATTAACAGTGCCTTTAGGAAGAGAACTTGGAGTAAAATCTCATTTGCTGTTCTTCAGAATGAATGTACTTTTCTATTTAATGCATTTAAACATAGAAATTCCACTCTGGATGTATAAATGAAAGCAAAATCAGTATATAAGACAATGTAGAAGGTTGATTCCCGAGTTATCCAAATAGGTTATGGCTCTAATGTATAGCCTTAGTATGCAAACCTTGAACTTAAAAGTGGTAGTAACAGCACACCACTAAGAAAAGACTCTTTATGGGTAACATTTGGCTTAAAGTTGAACACGTCACAGTCACCTCTCCTGGCTCATAAAATCTCCAATTCAGCTTTCACTAGTTCAAGCTGGCCTGTCCCTGCTCTAGAAGCTACAACAGGAGGACATCTATTCCAGTTTCCTCATAAAATGGCCTGTAAAAAAAACTGAAATCAGACCAAATTCATTCACCAAAGAAGGCAAGAGAACTGGGTGCCTTCCCATCGTAATGAAGACTCAAATGTCTAACCACAAAGGAAGTCTGCACCTCTCAAGACAGACCATTCCAAACTCTGAATGTTCTGCCTGTAAGTATTCCTAAATTTACTAAAAACAAGTCAAGAAAATGTTTTTTAAAGACCCCAATTATCCTGAAGGAAAACATACATCAGAAGACTTTCCAAACACAAATAAATTAAATGGCATTTTCAAGTCAAGGATGAAAATTACATTTCCAAAATCAGTAATCCAAAAGTCATATTTTCACGGTGCAAAGCAATTAAAATCATATGCTAAATAATAGGGAAGGCTGTAAGCTTGGTAAACCATGAGATTTAAAAATTACACAAATGAGCCTGATTTTGAGCTTCTTACCTAATGCAGCATGATCTTCTGGCTTCTGACTCTTTCCCAAAGAGGCCTTCATTTTTGAGTACATATCATTCCACCAAGGATTATACTTCAAAACTTGTTCAATTGGCTCATCTTCAAAGAAGTCAGCTCTGGGAAAATAGTCAATGAGCTTGTTATACTGGCTTAGGCTGGCTTTCATTATAAAAAAAAAAAATCTTAGCATATCACATCTGCACTGGAAATGGCATAAAACAAATGGCAAGCATCTGACTATGGGACATCTGATATTTCTGATCTTTGTGAATAGAAGGCCCACAGACAACCAGTACTACCCTCACGTCCCATCCCATATTCAGTGATGTGGAATGGAGCAAATCTGAATATACATTGGACTGACACTGCAAGGTTTGCAGGTAGCACAGCCTTTGGAAGCTTACAAGACAAAAGAGCTTTCAAATCAGCCAGCAAAGAAAAACAGATGAGTAGGAAATTCAGGATACGATGTCTCTACAAAGACTAAATGTGGTTATACACCAATACATGCACACACATACATCCACATGCACACCCAAACACATGCTATTTTCACCATATCTTCCATTATGATCTATTTTATTTAGCAATGCTAATCCTCATGGTTCCTAGACTTTAAACTCCTGAAAAAGATGAACATAACCTTTATAGGTAACAATTTTCTGCTCTCTATGCTCTCTGTGTTAACTAGAAAAAATGATGGCTACGTTCAATGTACCTTTCGTCTTGGAAGATACTTCAGAATCATGCTATCCTGTGCTCAGAGCTGGAAATAGGCATTCGTGGAGAAAGCAAGACAGAGTATGGTAGTAAATGGTAAAAATTTCACTTACATTTTAGTTAACTAAAAATTCCAAGAATAGTTTTCTTTGATACATTGAGTTTTCTAGCTAATAGTTTTACCATCTTAACACACTTTTCTTTCACCTGAGATAGAAATCTTCTTAAAATCGGAAAAACCATGGCTAACCTGAGTTCTTTGTGTATATGGCAGGCACTGTACCAGGTGCTTTAACTGTTATTTCCTTGAATCCTCACACCATCACCACGGGGAGAAGACACACTATACATGGGAAACTAAAGCCCAGAAAAGTGACACATCTTGGCCAAGTTCAAAGAACCAGTAAAATGTTTGACCAGGATGTGGGCCCATTAAGTCTTAATCCAGAATCAACATACCCCCTGCAATACCAGGGACTGAACTCAGGGACTTGCATCTGCTTAGCAGGTGCTCTATCATTTGAGCCACACCACCACCCTATTTTCAACGTGGTTATTTTTTAGATAGGGTCTTGCTTTACCTTCAGTCCAGGCTAGACTACAAATCCCTTTTATGCTTGTCCCATGGCTTGAATGACACATGCATGCCATTATATCCAGTCACTGTGTTTTTCCTGTTGCTTAGGACAGCATTGAGCCCAGCCTGTGGACTGGCCTTTCTCTTTGATTCCCCAATTTTTACCTCTCAAGTTGCTGGGATTACAGGCTTCAGCTACCACACTCAGCTCAGAAACAGTGTTCTCAAACAAGCATACATGTTTGATTTTGATATGGTGAAGAAATAAAGTACATAGTGAACAAAACTAAAGAATTAGTATCTTGAAATGGGAATCCCAATATTCATTTTTATCCCATGCATAGCACATATAAGACTGGGATAACAGATGTGAGGAGAGATGACAATTTCTACTTGGATGGGGCTGACTTTGATGAGCCCTTTCTGGACCTACAGAGCTCTGTGCAACAGGAAGTATGATAGTAGTATGATCTCAATAGAGAGACACGAAGAGTCACGCACATTAGGCGTGACACAGGACAGTGGCATGCACGGTAAGAGGAAAAAGCTTTGGACATGGGACCACAGAGGACACACAGGAGACAGCAGGAGAGCCATCTGGAAAGATGCTGGCTTTCCTCCAGGGAGACTGTGATGGGAAAAACCAAACTGGCTTCATAGAATAGCATTCCTAACACCTCTGCCTCCCACCTTCCCTCAAAGAAGCTACAAATCATTCTAAATAAAATTTCACTAACTCAGCCCATTTGTATGTACATCATCCATATTCTTCTATTACGTTGGAAAAGACATTTTATCCTTAATTTTTAAGTTTTTTAAAAAAATTTAATTTCTTGTTAGTTGGTAGATGAAATTGCCCTAAACCACTGAGAATTACTGAGGTTTTTGCATAGATTTCTGTATGTCTAGGATCCTTTTATCAAGGCAGTAACGTGCATTAAGTCCCAGCATGGGCCATTAAACTACAGGCATTTACTTTTTTTTCTATTAGCAATTTTTGCTTTAATAAATGAGTTACATTAATACCTCATATCACACAAAAAGCCAAATTACACTGACTTGTTTACAACTCAAAGCTTATTCCCAATACACATTCCAATATATTTGTCTGTAAATCAATGCATTTTTTTTTGTTTTTAATTTTTTTTACATTAACTTTTCAACTACAAACCTCAAATAACCAAAAAATGTTCCAAGGACTAGCATAACAGGATTCATAAAACCCAAACTGACTAGATGTGTTCTCACAAGATAAGCTGATATAAAAATAAACTAACTTCTCTATTATCACAAGCACCAATCATGTATATATAGTAATGGTTTTTGGCTACTAACTATTCTAGTTCTAGTTCCAAAAGGAAACAATTCATTTTCAAAGACTCGGCAAAATCAATGCCTTGTCACTTCCATGGAGCTGCTGCTGAATTCAACAGGTAAAGTATCCATCTTGACTGATTAGATCAGCTTGTACTGATGTTGGGGAAAAATAATTTTGGAGTAACACAGAAGACTCACTGCTTTCACACATAGAAATGATTTTTGAGAAATATAAGCAATTGACTAGCTATTTCTAACATAAAACAGACATTGTACAGTATAGCTAAAATTTACATGTAGCCTCAGAACTGAAGGACAACTTAATTCCAACTCCAATTTACCAGTATTATGTATGTAGGAATTAGCTCAAAGAGGAAATCCTGTCTGAGTGGTCATGTAAAAAACATTCATAGTTAGCTGTGTGTTTGGTGACAATGGATCCATGGCAGGACTTAATGCACGTTACTGCCTTGATAAAAGGATCCTAGACATACAGAAATCTGTGCAAAAACCTCAGTAATTCTCAGTGGTTATGGGCAATTTCATGCCACCAAGTAACAAGAAATTAAATTAAAAAACAAAACCAAAAATTAAGGTTAAAATGTCTTTTCCAACATAACAGAAGAATATGGATGATGTACATACAAATGGGCTGCCAATGACAACTATGTGTTGGTTCATAACAAATCTAAGACTATTAGACAACCAAACACTGAACCTTCTTGTGGTTTCTCTTATATGCAGAATTCACTATGGTAGTTAGGTCCTTTTGCTGGTTTCCTGCAAGTCTGAAGTTGTGTTTCTTGTGTCATTGCTGGTGTTCCCCATCCTCAGAGTTGCTTTTGTTTTCTTTTTCTTGCAGTCTTTATAATCTTCATCTCCTGGAAATTTCTGGCACTGTTTGGAGGATTTCTTTGAAGCATAGGCCTTTTTCCATTTTGAGCTTCTTTCTAGTTTTTCTTTTGCCTTCTCCATCTTCTTCTACTCTAGTGCCAACCTCACTGACTGTATCTGCAGTATTTCTGACTTTTCCCTCAGTTTCTGAAGAGCTCTGTTGTTGAATTGCCTGGTATCCTGGGCTAGTTTCTATTTCCCACAATCCTTCATTAAATCCTTTCCATTTGTTTGACTTTCCAAACTTATTTTTGTATTATTCCTTTGGTGGAAAAAGGTCTTTGGGACCTAGAAATGCAGTTTTATGAGTACCACAAAAGAAGATAGGATACTTGTTCACTGGAGGCTTCGCGGCTCCCCAAGGCAGTTCATCAGTCCCGGTGGGCCAGTGCAGGTACTGCCCTTCATCTTGGAGAAGACAAGGTCACCCACTTTGTACTCCTGCAGATGCCTAGACATAGAGAGGCTGTGCCCCCGCAGGCTGAGGGGTTTTCTCTTTGTACTGTCAGCGAAGTAAGAGTTTCTTGAACATGATTTAAGGGTGATTCTGTCCTTAGAATGTATTATTTTCAAAAAAAAATTTTTTTTGGTCCTGTCGTGGGGCCTGAACTCTGGGCCTGGGCACTGTCTCTCAGCTCTTCAGCTCAAGGCTAGCTGGCACTCTACCTACCACCTGAGCCACAGCACCACTTCTGACTTTTTTTTTTTTTGCTTATGTGGTGCTGAGGAATCGAACCCAGGGCCTCATGCATGCAAGGCAAGTGCTCTACCACTGAGCCATCTTCCCAGCCCCCTATTTTCAAATTTTTTAATGCCTCTAATTCAACAAGCAGTCACTGAATGCCCTTGATGGCAGAATCTAGGAGTCAAAGATCAGTAACAGTCATGATCATTTAGACTGCTCCTGCCACCAAGGACTCCACAATTCACTAGGAACCATGGACACAAAATAGAGAGCAGGGTTCTAACACCATGTGGTGAAGACAAGACAAGCTGCCACAGAGGAGCACTGGGGAGGCCTCCTTTGCCAGTCTAAATCCAGTGCTATAGGTGGGTGATGGCTGAATCCAGCCTTGGGCAAATGGGGAAGGGGAGAACCAGCAGGAAAAAAGCAGGAGTGAAAGGAAGGAATGCACGTGAAACCACGTGGCTTGGAGAGGGGTGATATACAGCCTTTTTCGTTGCAGTAGTGCAAAATGCTGGCAGAGAGTGGCAAAAAGTAGTGACAGAGGTGGCAGGTCCAGGTCATAGAGAATTTCAGAGATACCAAGAAGTGAGAGACCTGTGCATTATTCACAACACCCAGTATACTGGAAGCAGATCTTCATGTGGGTACATCAGTGGGTGGGTGGTTTTGTGGTTGAGGAACTTGGAAGTGTGGATTGGAGAGATGTCAGAGTGCTGGTTACAAAGCCGGACATAGAGGAGGGACACAAAGAGATGAAGTGAAGGTAATAATGCAGAGACAAATGACACAGCTTCCTGACTGACTGAATGTGTGGGATAAGAAAGGAGTCAGAGATGAATCTCAGCTTTCTAACCTCAGTGACTGGAGTGAAAAATAGGGCACTCAACCAAGTGAGAAAATTCATGAAGACTTCAGAGGTAAATGATGAGCTCAATTTTGGACACACTGAAACAGAGGAGTCAAAGGAATGCCTGGTCACTGTCCACGCCTTCAAGCTGCTTTATCTTCATAGTCCTTGTCACAACACAAGTTCCCTCTCCCCCAACAGAGTGCAAAGACCTGCCATGCTCACTGTGGTTTCCTTTGCCTGGCATGCAGTCCATTCAAGCAAATGCTTGTTGAGTCAATAAACACACAAATGAGACTGAGTGAAGTTTTTATTCTAAGGCTATTTCCTACGTTTGGTATTCTGAATAGGAAACTATCTTGGATGCATGGAACCCAACTCGCAGCCTCCTTGTCGCACCAGCATGATTACTAGATCCACTCTGTATAGCCAAAAGCCACATCAATCTATCTTTAACAAATTTAAAATAATGAAAAATTATTATTTAAAATGGTACTTCAAGCCAGGCCTTAGTAGATTATGCCTATAACACTAGCTATTTGGGAAGGGGGAGGGAGGGACCAGAAAGATTGCAATTCAAGACCAGTCTGAGCAAGAAGTTCACATGGCTTCATTTCAACCAGGAGCTGGTACTGCCAGCAAATACTTGTCATCCCAGCCCCACAGAAAGTTGAGGAAGATCTCGACTGCCAGAGAAAGTTCACAAGACTCTATATCAAAGGCTGGGCATAGCGATACATTCTTGTTATCCTAACTATAGAAAGAAACGTCAACACTAGGATCAAACCTCATGTTAGCCCATGTTAGCCTAGGCCAGAGACAGACAGACAGACAGACAGATAGACAGACGGACAGAATCTAAAAACAACTAAAGCAAAAAGGGATGGCGATATGGCTCAGCAGTCAACATGAGGCCCTGACTTCAAACTTCAGTACCAATAGTAATAATACAAACCAAACCACACTGACATCAGATTTTCCAACAATAACAAAAAGACAAAAAAAACCTTAAAAATAACATAAATCCATAATCAATTATGTCTATTTTTGGAATGTATAAATCTCCACATATACAATATACAATGTACTCTACTTACTGTGTTCTGCTTAGGCTTTCCTAAATTCCAGCCACTGCAGAAGCACTACTACTTGGGATAGAACACTTCATGCATACAATTAAAGAAAATGAGCTTCTGGGTAAAGAAAAACAGAAGATGGGGGGGGGGGGGGATATGTGCTGCTTAGAATATCACAGTACCAACTATAAATTTCAATTTCCTAATTCTCTCAGGCCAAAGGCTTATTCTTCTAGTTTTAAAAGAGGATAAGCAGTTCTTCTAATTAAGCTCCCTCCCATTTGAAATTTCAGTCTTGCAAAGCTCATTCTGTATTCATGCTAGACCCAGAAATTTGCTGACAATGAAATTTCCACTTTAAATATTCAGCATGATTTTAAATGGGTTTCTTCAAATTACTCTTCAGTGGACCTTTAAAGCCACAATTGGAGAGATAAAGGTAATTAGAAATGGCAATGTAAATGGAGTTGAATCTCTCAGATGTCCTCCAAAATCTAACGGACTCTGCTCTTAACCCAGCTTCCCTTAGGACATAAAATGGTTCAACCATTCATCATCACACATCACTCATTCCATTTGCACATCACAAGATAGATTTCTGCCATTCCAATTAGTATCCCACTGTGTCACAGGAGATAGAATGTTAATCACAAGAGCAACAGCAGTTAAACTGAAATAGTGTACATAAAAAGGAAACACGGAGTGACAAATGGAGAGTCTCTTTTCAAGTACTGGCCAAGTCATTTAGTAGTAGTGTGACCCTAGGCAAGTCACTTAACCTCTTTTCCTCATCTGTTGTACAAACAGAATTAAATAATCCCACAAGGGCACTAGATAAGTGGTAAACATTGCACAAACATAAGAGAAAATGATGATTACAGCTGCCTATGGAACTGCTGAGAACTTGTGAGCCTACAGCATGGTAAGAACACTGAGTTCTACCTCAACACATAATGTCCATTCTCCAACCATTCCAGAAGAGAAGAGGCAAGTATTCACAGGGGGCTGGTGACAATTTGAAACTACCACAGCCCATGAGAGACTGCATAATTTCTAATTATATTCCTTCCTTGTGCAAATATTAGCTTTACAGAGACTCATCACGCTAAAGACATAACTACTGTCAGTGGGAAATACAGCAAACCTCAAAATTAGGTTCTATTTATAATGCTACTACAAAGGACAATTCTTTGTCCATTTGAAACAGACCTCGATATAGGTAGATGAAAGTGTTAGGAAGAAATGGATGAGCAAATAATGCAGCACAGGCCAATTCTTAAGGAAAACCAGATATAGCTTCACATACCATCCATCACAATAAAAAGTCTACTTAGAAGTCTGGGTATTCAGTGTTTCATTTTAAGCCTGGTGAGAAAAACCTTAAGAACATATTAGAAGAGTTCTCAGTTGCTGGGGCGAACTACTACTCAATATCAGATTCCAAATATCACCAAGGAACACAGAACAGCTGCAGGTTAAGAAGACGTCGGTGAGGGTTTCAGCCATCACTAATTTCATGACCCCCATAACCTACATGCCCACTACACCTAAAGACACTCAAAAAACGTTTTTTTAAGTAAAATTTTTAACTCTCTAAAACTCAATACTCACAGATAATGATCTGGATCAAATTTTGCCAGCTCAGCAGCCAGGCGTTTCTGCCTTCGCTCAGCAGCAGGCGTGAAATCTGGATCTTTAACATCAATAACCTCGCTCAATTCATCCTAAAAACAACCAGAAAAGGAGAAAATAATTGCTATCACCAATTTTTATCACCTAAAAAAAAAATCAAAGGTTTTTTTCTTTTTTTGGGAGGGGGAGGAGTAAAAAAAAAAAAAAATGCCCAAGCACACAAAGAATTGAATACAGCAAACTAGGATAGTGCCTGTGACATTACAATTCGTATCTAATGAACTTTGTTAAGCACTTACTACTCCCGAGGTCCTTCTGGAGACTTCCATGTGGATTATCCCATTTAATCCTTACAATAAATGAACTTACTCATATCTATTAGGGTTATAAAAGTTTAACATAGAAGCCAGAATGGAATAAACTCAAGCAAGCAAGCAGGAACATTTAATTCCTCATCCATTTCCCACTTACTCCTGGAGATTTCAGAGCTATGTCAGAGTATCAGACATCAACAGAGACTTTTCCTTCTCCTTCAATCTCCCTCAGCTTGTCTCTGCAAAGAATTACCATAAAACATAAAACCAACTTTATGAACTGATTGAAAATTATCTATGGACAATGCTCATGTAGACAATTTTCCATCTGAAAATTTAGAAATCTAATCCTAAGTGGGAATTCACTTTACTGTGACTTCTTTATCAGGATGATACATGTTAACATGTGGCATTCATCCCCCTATAATAGGTGTGGAGGAGGAAGCTGCACAGGATACTACATGGTCCACCTGTGAAGCACAGACACCTCACACAATGTAAAGTATTTCTAAAACTGTGCTCTTGCTTTTCCTTAGTTTCCTTCAAGCTCCCACTCCAACTACCAACCCCAAATGAGGAAGTACAGAAACTGAAAAGACGTAAGCTAAAAGAAACCAAAGGAAATAACAAGGCAAACTTAAAAAAGATGTGTCAATGGAATGACAGGTTAGCACCTAACAGCAGGTTTAAAAATGGATGGCTGTAAGGCAAACTCACTAAAATTAGTGAGCTACCCTGATTTAGTAAAAATGCCTAGGAAACAGTTTCCTCATACACATTTTTATACAATATGAAATTTCTTGTCTATCACAATCCTTTTAGGTCAGATAGCAATATTCAATCTAAGTACACTTGAATATAATGATGGGGTCCAGAGACCTTTTTGGAAGCTATGAAAGCAGTATAGCTTAATGCTTCCAAGTATCAACATTCTGAACAAACCAGATTGCTGGCTCCCTAAAAACTTTTAAAAATCTGCATTCTAAAAACACCTTTGCAATCTACTTTTGGGGGGATCTGGAAACTTATTTTCCTACAGAAAGACCATTATAAATAGTAGTTAAGATTCTCAGGGAAGTCTTCAAGTTTTCTCAATTCATAAGGAACTTGCAATTCATAAGGAACACGACATACACAGCAGTACACCCGTGGGAAATACATTTTCTCCAGGTGAATCCATTAGAAACATCTCTTCTCTGACCAAGTCCATGTGGATTCTTCCTCTTTCACTTCATATCCACACCTGCCTAAACCTCACAGTGAGTCACAGCCTGGGCCAGGGAGCTGAAACAGGCCTTGGGGTACTAAACTCACAGAGAAGAACACTATGGGAACCATGTCCTGTCCTTGGATAGCAGAGTCACTCCCCAGTAACCTAAAGTCATCTCTTTCCTCCTAGCCCCTAGGAGTCCTCTCCTCTCTCCCTGCCACACTTCTGGATGCTTTATGGTGAAGGAGAAAGCGTGTCTTGAGTTAGATGAGCCTAAATGTAAGTCCTAGCTGCAGTTGTATCAGACAGCATCACTGAATCTCTGCTTGCTCACATGACATGAGTGACATTTCTATTACAGTGTGGGAGATTCGGTTCCTCTTGCTTCTGTTGCTGCCACCAATTACCAGAGACTTGGTTGTCTACTACAACACATATTTATTATCTCACAGTTCTAGGGGTTAGAAGTTCAAGATCAGGATCGATGGGTTAAAGACAAGGTGTCAGCCGGGCTACATGCCCTTGTGGAGGTTTATAGGACAATTGTTTCTTTGCCTTTCCAGCTTAGAGGTTGTCCCTGTCCTTCACTTGCAGCCCACAGCATGACACCATTGCTCCCTTTGCTTCTCGTACATATGACCTTCCTTCTTTGTCTCCCTGTTATACCTTTGAGTAGATGGGGCCTACCCAGATAATCCAGGGTACTCTCTAGATCCTTGGTTTAATTACAAAATACCTTTTACCAGGTAACATCTTCAGATTCTGGGGATAAGCACAAGAACACCTCCTTTAGGTGGAGGAGAGAGATGACAATCATTTGGCAACATGGACAATTATAAGGATTTATTGAGATAATATAAGTAATCAAGCATAGGCTTAATATACTTAATAATACTCAATAGTAGGTTCCTTCCTATCTCCTTTACCCACTGACTAACTTTCTACTGAGAGTTAAGATCCTCCTCTGCTTCACTAATGGCAATTAAAAATGGAATTACAGTAAAAATCTGAACTTCTGGCTATAATAAGTGAGGCTTCATAGATAACCCCACAGTTGAGGAAAAACAGACGCTAGTAACCAGACAAATTCTCAAAATCTAACTGCACTGAGAACAAATCCAGATTCGGCAGAGTCCCTCATCACCTAGCCTGTCCTGCCTTTGAAACTCAGGTTTCCCTTTCCGATTGGCTCAAGTACACTCAAGCCACACTAAACTTCTTTCCGTTTTTGGAACATATCCATTCATTCTTCATCTTGAGTGTCTGCATTTACATTGCCTTTCTCATCCCGAACTCAGAGAAACATCCCATCCTCAGTAGGTCTTCTCTAGGCATCCTAACCAAACTAGTATCCCTGCCTGGGATATCTCCAATCACCCTTCCCATTCACCTGTCACTCAGCCATCATTTTGTATCCTTGTTTACATGTTAACTGTGTATCTCATTCCATGAAGATAGGGGTCTCTCTATCATCTTTATCACTGTGCAATAGCACTGGGTGTAGTAGTCAATGTTAGCCATTAATCAGCACAGAGTTATGTGAGGCCTGCCATAGGCTAGGTACTGTCTGAGAAGTGGAATGGAAATCAAGTAACTAACACATAGATAAGGTCCTTGCTCTCATGCAGATGAGGACTGATCTTTGCCTTGACTCAGGGCTTCCATATACAGATACGCAACATGTATATAGATGAGCCCAACCGTTCAAGACAGGTCTTGCTCTTTGCACAGCTGTGCACTGTAGTCCTGCTCAAACTGGACCCAAAAAGAGAAGCCAAAAAAAAACAAAAACCTAAAAAGCAAAGTTAGCTTGAAATTTAAAAGGTCTAAGGTACAACCTAAGGGAAGGAAAGTTGGAAAAAAAGTCTGAGCCATCAACCAACCAAGTGGGAAGGAAGAAAACAGTTTTAAACCATAGCATGGATTCCTCATTTTCTTTTTTGCTCAAAGAACTGCTATGGTCACTAGTCATGAAAGCTATTTAAAAGACACTACCACGCAAAGTCCACAGAGGATTTCAATCAGGCTAACTTCCATTGAAACCACAGGCAAGGCAGTGTCAACCAGAGAGAAAATGAACTGTGTGTACAACCACCCAGCGGCTCTCCTGGAAACAAAGACCTCAGTTCCCCAGGCAAGTCAAGGGAAGGGAAGGAACAGCAAGGCTGGCATTCTGCAGCTGCTGGCAGCAGTGGTCCCAGGAGCTTGCTGGGCTAGCGCCCAGAGACTCGAGGATTGTGGTTGCTGGCAGCCACCATTGCCAGAAGCCTGTTGTGCAGCTTTGACTTTGAGGAGTTAGGGCAGTTTTCCAAAGACACGCTGGTGTCTGCCAGTAATGTTAGAAAAGAAAGGAGTGTGTGCATGTGTTTGTGCTTGTTGGGGGGAGGGGGCAGGGGAGAATGGTAAAAGATAATTTGTTTCAGCAAAAATATTTATACTTCTTCCCATTATCAGCATAGAATACACAAGTTTATAAGCAATGGCGTTTAAAAGGTTAAAAGGAAAGACTATATCCTTTGTAAGGTTTTAAATTATTCAAGAAAGACAAGATACCTGGGTTGCAGTTTTTTACCTTTACCTTTGTATTTATTTTTAATGGCTTCCTTTTTCTTTATTGGATGCTCTGTAGATGTCATACAGGTCTAAGAGCTATTCTGTTACAATGACTTTTTAAAAACCTGATCAGAATCAAGGTCCTGGTCCAGAGCTCCCAAGCAGAAGCATTAAGGAATGGGAGGTATTCCTCCAATATCAACAAAACCCAGAAAATGAGGTTCTTAGACTCTTTCACAGGCCAAACCCAGAGCATAGGCCTGGGCTAATCCAGGAAACCTCTGCTGCATCTCGCTCAGTACAAGGTAACCAGCAAAGAACTGGAGGAATCATCCAGCTGAACCCAGAGGGACTGATGGAACTGCAAAGAGGATGGAGACAAACAGGTGCTGCGCAGCTGTAGATAAGGCTGGCCTACTCATAGGGAGAGGTGGGCAGTACTAAAGCAAGGTGGAAGTAGAAACCCAAGGTTCTTTCCTGAGCAGTGGGTCAGGTAGCAGCTGGCAGTCTCAACATGTCTCTTGACCCTAGCCTGGCTAAGGGTTCACCTGTTGTAGTTGCTTTTGGTGAGCTGGGACTCCCCATCTTCTAGCTTGGACTTGAGATGCTCTTTGTAAACCATGATGTTTCCAGGCCACTTGCTGATTGTCTGCTTCTCACAGACCCAAATTTCCAGTGCAACCTGCTGAATGAGCCGGAAGCCATGCTGATAAGCACCACACTCACCTCAGCCTCACTGATGGCATTAGCCAGTGTATCTATGGTCTCAATGTCCTAGTGATCCATGAACTCATCCGAGAACAGGCAGAACTGAAACTCAAATACGCAAATAAGAAAACCTTACGCCTTGAGCTCTTCCAGGACACCATACCTGCAACCGCTGAACCACTCCCGATCGCAGGTTTCCAAATCCATAGTAGCACTGCCGGTTCAAAGCACTGTCTGGCACCTCCTCATAGGGGGTCTGCTCAATGTCCCAATCAAACTCCTCATCATCATCTTCAACCACATCTTCAGAAACCGCAGAACCACCTCATTGTGTTAAACAAAATTTTTAAAAAATTGGGTAACAGGGAGGAAAAAAGTATAGGAAAAAGTGTCTGAATGTGTGTACTACAAGTACAGCTTCACTATTCTTGATGGTCAAAGCAACAGAACAAACCCATATGTTCAGAAGGAGGAAACAGAAACAAATGTGGTATCTTTAGAAAACAGAATATCACATAGTGATAAATGCTACAACATGGATAAACAAGAAGTCAAAGAAAATTAATCCATACTGTTAAAGACAGGACAAGGTAACTAGGAACGAGATATCAGATAGATCCCAGGGTGGTGGAAATAAGTATTTCAGTTCTTGACCTAGCTAGTGTTCATATTTAGTAACTCAATCAGCTTTTTACTATGGCAAGATGATCTTTTACTTGGTCCAAAAATGTGACTAGTTCACTAAAGTCACTTATGTTTCTTATTACATATCAAATAAGTGATTTTCACATGACTACTTAGCTTGTCATCTGAAACATTTTCTCCCATTTCCTGTTTTCCTCTAAGTATGTAGGCCATTTCAAGTACTTTCACTTTATTTTACATTTTATCATTACATCTTCCAAATCACAGTCAACATACCTATTTCTTCCACAAGTGGTTTGGCTGTCCTGGATTTTCTTGGTGCAAGAAGAGCAGTTAACATGTTCAGCCCCTCAAAATGTTGGCCAGGAGTTTCTTTGGGCAATCGAATGGTAAAAATTCCTTAAAGGCAAATTTATGCTTAATCACATCAAAACAGTCAAAATTTCACAAATATACCTAAGAAATACAGCCTCAAACAAAAAAAAAAACCTAAGGGACAACACCCAAAACCTGAGTTCAAGGCCCATGCACATGCACACGTGCATTCACACACATATACACATACACACACACACACACACACACACACACAACCAAAACAACAACAACATAAAAGTAATTATGGCTTAATAGAGTTTCTTCACTATCTCAAGAGACAGAGACACACAGTCTATCTATGGCAGACCTTTAATCTACCTACTACTTTTCTCTCCTTGACTAGCCTCCCTTATAAACTTATTACAATGCTTACTAGCCTTTTGTTTAGTGTTTGGGTTTTTTTGAGACAGGGCTTGCTATGCAGCCAAAGCTGGTCTCAAACTCAAAATCCTCCTCCCTCTCAGCCTCCCAAATGCGGGAATCATATTTTGTGCCACTAAGCCTAGCATCTATGTTTAAACTCTATCTTTAACACCGAGAGCAGTGAATTGCATCCCAATAAAACAAATGCAATTCAACTCCTACATCCATAACCTATCTAAACCTTTAACATGTAGTAATTGTTTCAATACACAAAGTAACTGTAATTACTGTGGAAAAGGCAGTTTCCCTGAGACTTCACCACCACATTAATTACAATAACTGTGAGTGAAAACTCTTCTACAACTTCTCATCCTACTTCCTTCCATTATCCTCATGTACTGAGGCCATAAACAGCCATTCAATAAATGATACAGAAGTACACAGGATCCCCTTGATCCAGATCCAGTGACAAAGGAAAGCATTCTAGAAAAGGAAAATAAATGGTTTTGTGGCTAGTTAAAATGTGGTATTTATAAAATCATGAAGGAGAAAAAAAATACAATTAGCCTTTAAAAGCCACCCAAGGATAGCTATTCTCTCAACTATTTGTCACTGAAATTTAAGTTTAAAAATTATACAAGAGGGCTGGGAAGGTGGCTCAGTGGTAGAGCGCTTGCCTTGCATGCCTGAGGTCCTGGGTTCGATTCCTCACCACCACATAAGCAAAAAGAAAAAAGCCAGAAGTGGTGCTGTGGCTCAAGGGGTAGAGTGCTAGCCTTGAACTGAAGAGCTGAGGGACAGCACCCAGGCCCAGAGTTCAGGCCTCACAACCGGACCCAAAAAAATAAAATAAAATAAAATAAAAATTATACAAGAAAGGGTCTATTCAAAAGCTTATAAATTATCTATACATTTTATAATCAATTGTCTTGCACATTCCAATTTTCACTTTTAAACACCTACTAAATGTAGAAGCATGAGCCAATAACTAATTCAACTTTACTTTGAAGATTACTGTGAAATATTTTAAAGAACTGAGGAAATTATAATTGTCCAAATATCCAAGAATACCAGGGACTGAACACTAAGAGAGACTAGGAAAGATGGCAATTGCCAGACACCTCAAGTCCTCATAATGTCTTCAAAGACAAAAATGCAAAGACAGTACCTTTATCTGCTTCATAGGATCCCTGCTCACTTCCATTTTCTACAACTCTTCCAGGAAGATTTAATCTGCAGATTTAACACAAGTTTTAAGTCCTTAAGTTATAAAGCAATGAAAATACAACATGTTTATCCATCAAAATCTACAAACATTTTAAGAGGAAGTTCTTCAGCATTTCTTTCACATTTTACAAACTAAATAACCTAGATTCCTTCCCCATGTAAATAAAAAACTTTCCATCAGAACAGGCCAGTCATCAAATAGATACTGAATAAAACAAAAGCCAGAACAAATAGGTATCACTATAATTACAGTAATTCCTCACCCCCTTTTTTGGCAATACTGAGTTTGACCCATCATGCTTACAAGGCTGGCCCTCTACCACTAAGCCACACCTCCAATCTTGTTTTCACTGGTTATTTTGTAGACAAGAGTCTTGCTTCCTATTTTATGCTACCCATCATTGCTGGAGTGATAGGCATACACCACCACAACTGGCTTCCTTCTGCTGAGATAGAGTCTCTTAGACTTTTCTGTCTGGGCTGGCATAGAACTGCAATCCTCCCAATCTGTGTCTCATATAGCTTAAGATGATGGGTTCATACCACTGCACCCACAAATGGTTTGAGAAAAAAAATTAGCCAACTTTTCTGCCTGGGAAGGCATTCTAAACTTCCCAAGTATCTAGGATTACTTCTCTCTTTTTAATAAACAAGAGAATTATTTATATAACTGGTGCCTGACATAGAAGATGCTCAATAGAAGTATACTAACTTGATTTTAGGAGAAAACAGGAAACAATAAACAACAAAAACAACTGTTGATATAAGGCAAATTACCTTTAACTTTTTGGTAGTACTAGGGTTTAAACTCAGGACTTCATGCTTGCTAGGCAGGTACTATACTGCTTGAGCCATACCTCCAGCCCCAAAATTCCTACTATAAAAAAGACAGAAGCCAGGTATAGGTGGCTCATACTTGTTATCGTACCTACTCAGGAGGCTGAGATCTGAGAATCACAGTTCAAAGCCAGGCTGCAACAGGAAGAGCTGTGAGAATCTTATCTCCAATTAACTATGAATAAAGCTGGAAGTGGAGCTGTGACTCAAGTGGTAGAGCACTAACCTTGAGCACAAATGTTCAGGGACGGTGCCCAGACCCAGAATTCAAGCCCCAAGACAGGCATTAAAAAAAAAAAAAAAAGGCAGAAAGCAAAAGTTTTCCTCAAAATTCATGACTACTACATAAGTTCTTTTTTCTTAAAGGAGGAGAACTGTTTTTCTGTTTTGCTTCCAGGTGAACTCTTTTTCAAGCAGCCTTCCACAGAACTCAGAAAGAATTGTTCCAACACAGAAATCTGATTGGGTCTAGGGTTTCTATCCCTTAATATTCAGCTGGCTTCTGCAGCTTTTCATCAACACAATTAAAAAAATAAAAAGTAGTACTGTGCTTTCTGAAGTTAGGTCCTAAAAGGTGATAGGAATTCTACCATTAGCTGGAATTTCTTGTTCTTTAAAATGGTAGCAACTTGGGCTGGGAAGTTGGCTTAGTGCTTGCCTCACATGCATGAGGCCCTGGGTTCGACTCCTCAGCACCACATAAGCAGAAAAAAGCCAGAAGTGGTGCTGTGGCTCAAGTGGTAGGACACTAGCCTTGAGCTGAAGAACTGAGGGACAGCGCCCAGGCCCAGAGTTCTTCCCCCATAACTGCCAAAAAATAAATAACTAAAATGATAGCCACTGTGTTATCAGGCCAACTCTCCTGCAAAACACAAAAAAGACAGATAAAGAAGCCACACAAAGAAGCCCTAGGGTACTTCAAAGGAAAACACTCCTCCACTTCCAGCTGTTTCCACTCTTTACTATTCACATTCTAGGTCCAGCTATCAAGTGACCACAGTGGCACTAAAGCCTTCAAGCCAGAACAGACTAGCCAAGCTCTTAACCAAATTCCTTACCCACAGAAGCCAGGAGTCCATAAAAATGACTGCTGACATTTCACACTTTGTAAGTTTGGTTGGGTTAGTAGGTTCAGTGAGCCCTCCACATACATAGTGCTAATATGTATCTCCCCAGTTTCTGTGGTTTCAGTTTCCTGTCCAAGATCCAGACACAGTACAATATGACATGGTGTTTTCAGGGAGAAAGAGGCTATATTCACATAAACTTTATTAGAATGTATTGTTAACTTGTTAGGTTCATTATTATTATGAAACCTAGATTATAAATTAAGTTTGATCTTAAGTATGTAGGTGTAGGAAGGTATACATAGGGCTCAGTACCATCCCTTGTCTCAGGTCTCCACTGAGGGCCCATTCCCATAGACAAAGTGGACACTGTTAAGTTAGTAAGCTAGGATCTGATGGTTCGGCCCCACTGAGCCAACCTGATTAGAAGGATGTTTAGTGGGAAAGGGGAATGTGAGACAAAGCAGTCTTTTCTGTCAAACCAAAGTACCTCCATCTTGTATATTGATATTTCCTGGAATTATTTGCATTTTGACTTCAATTGTAATGATTATTTGTACGATCTGGGACGAGCCAACTATGCTAGGAATATGAATCTTCATCAAAGGAGTTAAAAATAAACTGCAAACTACTAGGTGTGCTGCTTGTGACCAGCAAGCCATGTTAGGAACATAAATCTTTATCAATGGAGTTAAAAGGAATAAGACTCTTTGAGTAGATTTCTATTGACTTCATCTACCTCCTCCAACTATATCTGTCAGCCACCCCATTCCCAGCCTTGCTCCCAGTCAGCTGTGAGAGGAAAAAAACAAAAACAAAAACAACTTTGATAAGAGTCAAAGAAGAGCCCCCTTCCTAACCTTGGTAATCAACTCTACTTAGAATGCGAGTCTAATTCCTTGAAGAGGAGGAGGAGGGACAGTTTGGAGCCTTACAAAAACCTAGCAGACTTCCCTGTCCAGTGTGCCTGCCTAGCTGTGGATAGAGTAAGGGTGCTGCATCCTTCAGCACAAAAATAAAAGTGCCTTGACGAAATCTCTTGTATTTTTTGTGTCTAATTCATTAGTCACTGCAGAGCCGTTCGTTGTGTGTTTCTAATAGGAAGCACAAGGGATTGGCAACAAACGCAGCCTCCTGAAGAATGGAACTTAACTAGGAGCGCGTTTCAAGTATCGCTGCCGAACAATCAACCAAGGTGGCACAGCACTTTGCACATCACACCGAAGGTGGGTGACTAGCGTCAGCTACGGCTACTTTTAGTCTGCGTGGAGAAAAGATCCAATTCGACGGGAGCTGGGTGCCTCTCGCGGGAAGAACGTGGAGCAACACACCCCAAAATCCAGGGGGAGAGGGGCCGGCCGGACAGTGAAGCAGCCGGGCATCGGGGTCGGGGAGAGCTTCGCTAGCTTGGCACGGAGGTGCCAAAGAAGGTGAGGATTTCAGGAAGCAGAGGATGGGAAGCCAGCCAGGAGCGCTGGCAGGAGTCCGAAAGATTCAGGACGGGCCGGGCAGGACCGAACAGGAGGTGGGCGCGCGAGTCCGGGCGGGGCAGAGGCGGGAGAGGGAGGCTTCGAGACCCAGGGCGTCCTGGAGACCCAGGGCGTCCTGGAGACCCAGGGCGTCCTGGAGACCCAGGGCGTCCTGGAGACCCAGGGCGTCCTGGAGACCCAGGGCGTCCTGGAGACCCAGGGCGTCCTGGAGACCCAGGGCGTCGGGCCGCGGGCCCGCGACGTAAGGCGGCTCCGGGGAGCGCGCGCGCGGGCGGCGGTGTGGGAAGGGATCCGGCGTCCGCGGCCGCCCGGCCGCGCTCCCGTCAGCCCCGGAGAGGCGCGGGAACGGCGTCGTCTCCGTGGAGAGCGGCTCCCGCCACCAGCAGTCACCGAAGGAAGACCCCCACGCCGCAGGGTGCGCACCCCACAGACGCCATGCCCGCCCGGGACTCGCCTGAGAAAGTACGGCTGGGCGTAGAACTTAAAGTCCACGCCCTCGAAGTACACGTCGAACTCCGAGACGCGGGCGTAGGGCACGCGGATGGCGACCGTCAGGAAATCGGGGTCCTGGCTGAGGTCGAACGCGGGGGTCAGCATCGCAGCTGCGCCGCACGCGGGGACTGCACCGCTCTCCCGAAAGCCCGCACGCGCGAGCACCCGCGCGGTCAGCCACGGCGCTTCCGCTCGAGGCGGAAGTGCTCGCGCGTAAGACGGAAGTCCTGCCTCCTCGCCCGTCTCCATGGAGACAGGACGCTTTTAAATGGCCAGGCGGAGCTTTCAAAAGTTGGGGCGCTAGAGGCTCGCGCGTGTAATCTTAGCTATTCAGATCTGAGTATTGCGGTTCAAAGCCAGCCCAGGAAGGGACGTCTGAGAGACTCTTATCTCCAATTAAACACCAGAAAGCCGGAAGAGGATCTGTGCTTAAATTGGTAAAGAGCTTGCCTTGAGCAAAAGAGCTCAGAGACAGAGCCCAAGCCTTGGGTCCAAGCCCCACGACCGACCCCCCCAATAAAATGTTCTGGAGAGAGTTTATTATGCTGGGACACACGAGTTTTATCCAGCCGAAATTTGTGTAGAACAGAAAGAAGAATCCCCCTTTTTTTTTGGGGGGGGGGGGGTCTGGTCGTGAGGCCTGAACTCTGGGCCTGGGCGCTGTCCCTCAGCTCTTCGGCTCAAGGCTAGCGCTCTACCACTTGAGCCATAGCACCACTTCCGGCTTCTTTTCTTTTTGCTATGTGGTGCTGAGGAATCGAACCCAGGGCCTCACGCATGCAAGGCAAGCGCTCTACCACTGAGCCACCTTCCCAGCCCCAGAAGAATCCCTTTTAAGCCAACAAAGGGTCTATAGAGGTTCTTAGAAATGATTTTAATAAGCAGCCACCCTCAGCTCACACTTCTAATCCTGACTGCTCTGGAGGATGAGATCTGAGGATTAATGGTTCAAAGTCAGCTGGAGAAGGCAATCTTGTTTAGAATCTTATCTCTAGCCAGCAAAACCCGGAAATGGAGATGTGCCTCAAGTAGCTAAGAGAGCACAGAAGCCCTGAGTTCAAGCCCCGCTAGTGGCACAGAAATAAATAAAAAGGAAATTATTTTAACAGCATTGACTTGGCAGGTCAGACAGACCTGCATTTGAGTACATTTGAGTCCCTTTTCTGCTGAGTTCCTGCTGCATGACTTTAGGAAATGTGCTTCAGGAATCTGTACTATAGAAGACGGCTAACACCAAAGCCTAGCTTCTTAGACATGTAAGGATGGCAATCAAATTGAAACCAGTGTTTTAGATAGAGTCCAAACCCCACGAATTCCACATCATGTCCTGCCAATCGACTCTATGCCAAATAAAGGACCTGGTGAAAGGCTGAGAAAGAAAAGTTAGCACATGGTAGCCATGGGAAGACAACACGTGAGTACATCTTTGGTGTACAGATGTGAACTTTAGGTTTATAGACAGAGATTGGGGGGGCGGGTGGAGAAGAGGAATGCAACTATTAAACAGTCCTATTCAGAACATGGCCTGGTTTATGATTATCTTTAGTCCTTGTTTGGAGAAGTGGTGATTACTGTCATCCTCACGGAAGACAAATCACCTTGTTTTATAGGGGATCTGTACTAAGGAGGCTTTATTGTTCCTAGAGGAAGTTTTGGTTCCTTGTCAGAAGGCTCTTCCAGTTCTTCCCAGAATCTAAGGTGATCGCATAGTATCTGCAGAGAGAATAGCTTACAAAAAAGTGCAGATAGACATGCCAAACTTTTATAATTAATTTGTGGACGCAATTGTGTTTCAGAAAAACACAATTCCCTCAAGTGTGAATGTTTCTCCATCATAAGGGAAGGGAATCATAGTGTTGGGCAATCTGACTTTTTTATGATCTGGGACTTGAACTCAGGACCTAGGCTCTGCCCCTGAGCTTCTCTGTACTTAACGGTAGTGCTCTACCACTTGAGCCAAGAACTATTTCCAGCCTTTTCTAAGTAGTTTATTGGAGGTGAGAATCTCATGGACTTTCCTGCCCAGTCTGTCTTCAAACTGTGATCCTCAGATCTCAACCTCTTGAGTAGCTATGATTACAGGCGTGAGCCACCAGTTCCTGACTTGCAATCTGCCTTTTGAATCAGTTACCTCCATTGAAATGTTGTCCCTTTGTACTTAGTCCATTTCATTGTTGTTGCTGTTATTTTTCTCATTTCTCCTTACACTTGTCAAAGCTCTTTTCTGCCTTTCCCCCCTTCCTCCTCTTTACTGGATATTCTCCCTTTAGTCTATATTCTTCATACTTCCCAATGTTGCTTCTACTGGTCTTCCTTTTCTCCCATGTATTCCCTTGGCCTGCCCTTCTCATTCCCTGTTATTCCATTCCAGAAGCTAGCATGGTCCAAGTATAGTATTTATCGCTTGGTTTTAAGTATCTATAAAAACATTTAAAGTCACCTTCTAGGACAGTGAAGATAACCAAGTAACTTCAAATGCCTTTTCAGCATCTGTGGGGTTTAGTTTTGTTTGCTTGCTTTTTGTTTTATGATTTGAAAGGGACAATCTTGAAACTTTCTTTAAAGTATTAATGGGCTAGACACCAATACCTCATTCAGGAAGATGGGATCTGAGGATCACTGTCTGAAGCCAACCCAGGCAGAGACTCTGATCTCTAGTTAACCACTGAAAAAAAATAGAAGTGAAGTGGTGAGCAAAAAAGCCAAGGGATAGTGCCCAGTACAGGCACAAAAAAATAATAAAATATATTAATGGGACCTAACATTCATCACATACTTAACTATGTGATAAGACCGCTGTAACCCTTCTATGACCTCATTTTCCTGTTTGACAGACAGCTCTATGATGAAGGCTTCATATATCCCCCCCCCCCCAGTATGCAGGACCCCATAGCCACAAAGTGGTTCAATAGGGGTTGAAGCCCCAGAAAGTCTGAGTACTGGGTCCAGGCTCTAAACTACTAAACAATAGCTAACAGTATCATCGACCCCTTATTTTCATAATCTGAGGCAAGCCTGCCTGCTTTGGACCAAACTAAACCTTACAAATAATAGGCACTCATAATATTGCTAATGAATTGGGGCCAACCTAGATTCAGTAAGGCCCTAAAGAGGTCCCTTGAGAGATGTCTTTGGCTAAATTATTTCAAATTAACTTCTCTAGGAGGAATCTTTACATCTACCATGGGACCTCCTTCCTGTAGGTCACAAACATTAATATTTTTAAATTATTAATGCCAGAGATTTAGCTGAAACAAGCCATCCTAATTCTAGCCACAGGAAACTCTAATTAAAAGCACTTACAAACTGGAGCAATACTTTTCCTGTATACTTTATTATATGTGTTTGGTAATGCGCACACACATACACACACACACACACACACACACACACACACACTATTGCAATTTGTGCTGCTATTATCTGTTAGAAATAAATATTTTATTTGCTGCTATATGACAAAATGCTTGTACTTAAGACTATATTTTCTTTCTTGCACTTGTATTTTATTGCAGACTATTATACAGCATCATCTTGTTTTGAAGAGAGGGACTTTCTGAATTCTCTTTACTTTTGTATTCCTAGTTAGTGGTAAATCACACAGAGTATAAATTCACTCTTCCTTAAAAAGCATAGGCTAGATGCCAGCGGCTCACACATGTAATCCTACTCAGGAGGCTGACACCTGAGAATCATTGATCTAAGCCTCTGCCTGAGACCCTTATCTCCAATTAACCAGCAAAAGGCTAGAAATGACAGTGTGGCTCAAGGGGTAAAATAACCTTGAGGGGTAAAAAAGGAGGGGGGCTAAGCGAGAGCATGAGGTTCCTCCAAGTACTGGCACAAAAAAAAAAAAAAAACAAAACTATAGAGCAACTTTGGTTCTCTTTCCTTTTCTCCAAAGATGATCCTTCTAGCTACTCTTGAAGATCTTCTATATTTCTACATGTATTTCTGTGTTCTCTGTGACTTTATGTCAACATATATTTTATTTAAGTTTATTACCATGGTATAAATATAATTCTGGAATATGCTTTTTCTTTACTTGAGAACTTTGTTGAGCTATAGCTATGCTGATTTATAGATCAAAATGAGTTCCTATTTCTGGACATTGCTTAAGAATAAAAATATTATTTTAACATTTTATGTTGTGTGTATGAAATTTTCATCATTTTTGAGACAATTCAATATTTTTTTATTTTTACATTTCTGTAAGTCCTACTTTGGGCAAAACTTTTGAGATTTTTAAAAAATAGGCTTTATTTTTTCTTTATGGAGGACACATATTTAGTCTATCATCTTTCATGATAGTAAATTATTCCCTCTTCTGGCATAACAAACATGATTGTGATCTGTAAATTTTAGAATTAAATGTTAAATAAAAATGGCAATTATAAACTATTCTAATTTCCATTCATTATCAAATTCTTACATTGGGAAGTCTTTTAATAGTGAAATATACCATATTTCCAGAAGGGGGCGTGTGCCTGGTAAATGAACACCACCAACTAAAAGAACAGGATTTTAACCTCTTAAATTTTAACCTGGAAAATGTTTTCTGGTATTAACCATGCATGCCCCTGGTTTATTACCGGAGCTGTGCAGGGGAGTGATGGGTTCTTGCAGCTGTCAAGCTACATGTTAAACACTGCTATTACCTTTATAGACAACTTTTCAGATTCTCTTTAAAGAAGCATAGGAAGATTTTCCAACAAAAATGGTGCCATACTCTACATTTTACTTTTTTACTTAGTATGTAATCCCATTAATCCCACTCGACTACATTTTTTTCCAAGAATATTTATCCATAATTATATATACTTGTACAAGTACTTATCAGTACTTGTAACTTTAGAAAAAAACAGAACTGAACTCAGGTGATTCATTTTGAGAAAAGAAGAATGAAATCATTCTTCTAAGGCCATAATCATAAATATAGATTAAAAAAAAGAACTAGAACAAGCCAGGCACCAAGGGCTCATGCCTGTAATCTAGCTACTGAGGAGGCTGCTGATGTGAGGATCAAGGTTCAAAGTCAGGCAGCACGCACGTGTGCACACACACACACACACACACACACACACCTCCTAGAACAAGAATATGAAAGATATTAGATTACACATTTTGAAGTTTAAAAAATATCCTTTATTAAATGCAATAGGGTTA